CTGTCTTCATGTGTGAATGATGACGCCCTCTGATGTCACAAACACATCGTCATTTCGGCCAGAAATGTAAACTACACGTTTGATCTCCACTGGACTGAAACGACAGGAGAATGTTTTCCTGAATGATCCGTCTTCACGTCGTTTAAAGAACCTTTTCATGTCCGGTCACAGCTGTGCAGATGTTTCATTTGATCTCTGGAAATATTAAGCTTCACCTCAAAACTCTGAGTAGTGTCAAACTTTGAAAATGTTTTTTTTTTTTTTTTTTTTTTTAATAAAACTTTATGTGAATGTTTTGGTGATTTTGTGTGCGACTGCTTGAAGTGCTTAGAAATGGACTTTAATGATACTGATGATGAGTTCACTTCTTACGTGTTGTTTATCCCAGCTGTCATTGGGTGAGAGGCGGGGTTACACCCTGGACTGGTCACCTGTCAATCACAGGGCTGACATATAGAGACAGACAACCAGCCACTCTCACATTCACACCTACGCTTTACAAAAGAGAAGCTAAAAGATCTTACTCATTGTTTAGAAAAATGGGATATTGAGAAATGGGATAAGTTGCAGGAAGGATTTCTCCTTTGTATTGCTCTCGTTCCTGTTGTCCACACTTCGTCCCCGCTGAGGTGGAGGTCGGAGCAGGCGGTGGTGGAGGCTGGGCGTCAGGGACATTGGGTGGTAGTAGAGCCAGATCACCTCGCTGAAAGTTGGGGGAGTCAATCTACTCGAGAGCCCGGCTTCTGCTGCCGGGACAAGGCCTTAAAGGTACAGACACAGAAACAGCCTGTTCTGAGCAGGGCTGAAATAGAGGGGTTTATAGACATGATCAAATACAGGATCAGAGTGGATTTAGAACAAGACATTAAAGGAAATAACGTTTTTGTTGTGAGAACCCGATGCTTCTTCTAGAGAAAAATGGTCTTTAAAAAAGTAAACCACCGGGGAAAGTACAGTTGCCTAACAGAAGACGAGAGTCCTGGTCTGTTCATGGGTGCAGCATAAACACATTTTAGACATTTGTAGGGCAGCAGAACAACACATGTCCTTTAACAGAATGAACATCTTCTTGTCTCTCTTTTTAAAAACCTGCTGACAAAAAACATTTCATCCTAACAGGGAATGATTTGAAATCTTCTTTTAATCCTGGCCGCCTGTGAAATCAACTGAAGCAAACCAAAATAACAGACTCCAAACCGGCTGATTTCTGCAGCAACAAGTTGGTTTTAGCCCCCCCCCCCCCCCGTTCCCCCCCGTGTCTCTAAAAGTCAATTAGCGGTGTCTAACGAGAACACAGAGCGGATTAATCCTGTTCTGTCCGCTCTGACAGGTGGCATTCAACCCGTCAGCCCCCCCTCATGGCCCCCTCCGTGCATCAATGGATGAGGGGAGGGGACGACAATAATAGAGGGTCTTAAATTCATGAGCTGATACAACCAGCACACATCTGTGGTGTGTTGTGTGTGTGTGTGTTTCTGTGTGTGTGTGTGTGTGTGTTTCTGTGTGTGTGTGTGTGTGTGTGTTTCGTGTGTGTGTGTGTGTGTGTGTGTTTCTGTGTGTGTGTGTGTGTGTGTGTGTTTCTGTGTGTGTGTGTGTGTGTGTGTGTGTGTGTGTGTGTGTGTGTGTTTGTGACCATGTTGCAGCCATTTCAGCCTGTTTCTCTGCTGCAGGCTGAAGAAAATCTACTGCAGCTATTCCAAAACTTTTTGTACCTACGAGTCATTTAGGACCCAAAATGTGTAAAAATAGAGCCCAGGTTAAAAAAAAGTCCTGGGGCCCGACTGATGTGGAAGTTTTGGGGATGATACCGATATGAGAAGGAGATAAAATCCGATACAGATATATCGGCCGATATCTTTCTTCGAGCTATCTTCGCCTGTAGAGATAGATATAAATAAACACATTTATGACGTTGATCCCTCAGTTATCAAACACTTGTGGAAAAGATTTATAATGAAGACAAGATGGTCACTCAGCTGGAAAGTAACTGAGCCTGTACGTGCATCACCGCTCAACACTCTGCAGAGTGATGATGTTTGTTGTAATCCATATAGCGCCCTCTGCTGGTGACAGAGAACTGCTAGTGTAACACAATGAAACTCAAATGAAATTCTATTTGACTGGTGATTAAATCGAGTATTATCAGTGCATATCAGAGATAAAATCAGCTGATACTGATCATCACTGGATAAGCTAATATCGGCTGAAATTATTGGCTGGCGGATTAATCGGTCGGGCTCTAAAAGCAACACTTTAAATCAAGAGATTACTCATAAATTAAAACAGGTTTCTGAATCAGACACAAACTCAGTTTCTCTGTGCTGACTCTCTGGTTGTTCTGCGATAAAGAATGTCATTGTTCTGGACTTAAAGTGGCCATCGACAGACGGTGCTCTGACTCCTCCCCCTCCCCAGGTGAACCCTCCCTCTCAGCAGCTTTCTCTCTCTCCTTTCTCGTCGGTCTTAAGCGTAACGGACGGCTCGCCGGGATCGAATAACCACACCATCGCTCTCATACTGATTCAGTGCGCCATTGTTCCCCCTATCATCATGAATAGCCAATAAAAAGCCCATCGCTCCTGAAGAAAAGGCGCCCGTGAGAGGGTGCGATGGCCTCCATACAGCTCCCAGCGTGGAAACCATCTGTCCGCTCGCTGTGTGAAAAGGATAATTGAGTGTTATAGAGAGCGGAGAAAAGATCTGATTTGTATTCTTTAGAAAGAGCCAGGGGTTTCACAGCACATCTGCCCCTCCGCTCCATTCACACTCATTCACTGTGCGCTCAATTAGCACACTCAATTAAGCCCTCATAATCCTTTTACCGCACACAAGGGCTGCCTCCAAACGCCACGCCCCCGCCGCAGAGAAGAGGCAACAAACGAGACTTTAGTGACTGTTTTCTTTTGGGAGGAAGGTCGGAGAGACAAAGCCCCCCTGAAGGAGTGAGAGTCCTCCGACACTTCATGAGGAGAGCTGACTGTTGCTGCAGCTGGCAGCGGCGACCGGCTCGGTCTGTGTGCCATTGTTCTGCAGATCCTGAGCTGCCTTTTCTCTGAGAGCGGTATGATTATTTAGAGGAGGGTCTGAACAGAGAGGCAGGCAGCCAGGCACATGCAGCAGGTCTGTGAACACAGACTGAATGCCGACGGTGTCACTGACGATGAAAGGCCGCTAGTTTAATCCCCATTAGTGTCGCGTGAGCCGAGACTCATGAATTTAATAGATTCATGTGAGACTTCGTTCAGATACATCGCTAAACATCATAGAGGAACAGATAACATCATTTCACTGGCTTTAGATTCAAATGTTTTTTTTTTTTAAAGATTTATTTTTGGGCTTTTATTGTAGAGATAGGACAGTGGATAGATTTGGAAATCAGGGGGACAGAGTGGGTAATGGCATGTGGGAAAGGAGCCACAGGTGGGATTCAATCCTGGGCTACCCGGTTGGAGGACCACAGCCTCCATACATGGGGCACACGCACTAACCACTGCGCCACCAGCGCCCCTTAGATTCAAGTCTTTAAACTTGGGCTCTATTCAAGCTGCAGCCTCCGGTGTTGATAAAATGAAGCTGAAGTGTAAAGTCCTGCAGTTCCTCGAGTGTCCACTAGAGGCTGGCTGCAGAAGCACAGGAAGTCACAAAAAACATTTTCGCACATACAGAAATCTCCTGAAAAACTACAGAGATTATCTCTGTACAAGTTTATCCTTCCAGACCCCTAGTATTTTTTCCACATCAAGTCCGAGTGAGCTGATGTGAGAGCGTCACACGGAGAATTCACCTCAAGCCAATAGGAGGGGGAGTGAAGTGTCTATACTGGGACTACTGCACCACTACGATCTCAGTGCACGTAATTAAACGGCTACATTACATGTTCTGTTCATCATTTTTCCAACAGGAGGGAAAAAAATCATCTTCCTCTGTAACAAGAAAAGATCTATCTCTGCATGGATACTTCATGTGATGATGTCACAAACTTAGAAAAACAATTTCAGCCTGTCAGGGACAAAAACAACAACTCTTAGTGGATGCACTTCAATTATATTGCAGCCATTACAGCCTGTGTCACTGCTGCAGGCGGAGGAAACATACTGGAAACAATTTGGGAGGGTTCACCTGAGGGGGAGGAGTCAGATCACCGTCTGTCGATGGCCACTTTAATTTGTTAAAAAATAGGAGAGCTTGAGAACACTGGAAAGCACCTTTCAGCCCAACCCTTTTTTTCCCCCAGCTGGTCCAAACATGAACAGCTCAGTCCAAAGTGTCTAACCGGAAAACAAAAAACAGTCAAGAGACTTCTTTCACCTCGTTTGTCTCATGACACAGATCCTCGCTGTAACAGGAGCGTTCACTCTGCAGCACTGTGAGCTGCATAGACAGGGTGTGTCGTTATCTAATGTGATGTTGTGTTTTGGCAGCGAGTGAGTTTACAGAGACATGACTGCACATTCACAGAATCACGGGAAGCCCCTCGTCTCTCCAGATGTCGTAAATGTATACTCTTTATTTTGCAGCTGGAGAGTCGAAGCAGAGAAGGGAAAATCTGCAGCTGATTAAGTCTCACAGTCCAGCTCCACAACATGTCGTTTCAGTAGAGAAAGAGTGAAAATGTACGGGGACACTGTGCAGACTGAACTCTGACAGAGCTGCTGGGTGACACACTGTACGACAGAAGGCTGTATCTGAACGCAGCTTTAGACGTTCACTGCTGCTATGACTCACTCTCACCTCGCTACAGACAGCTGCTGATAAGACGAAGAAGAAGAAGACTGTTCTTTATTTAAATCCATGTGTACGCCGCAGCAGACGAAGAACTCAGGAGATTTAAGACTTTCTTTGGACCCATAAACACCTTTAATGAGACCGCAAACCTCAGCCTCCCTCTGCTCCGTCTTATCACAGCGTTCAGTTCAACTTTAACGTTTTTTTATTCTTCATGCCCTTTATTTCATGCAGATGAACCTCCAAACTTTAGAAAGCCTCTCTTGCATCCAGTCACTGAATTGTATTCGCTCCTAAACTCACCTGCTGAGCTGTCATTGGCTGGAGGAAACACACCAGCTCCCCCTCCAAGAAACATCCCGAGTCAACCAGAACAAACCAAAACAGCAAAATCCAGAAAAGGTCACCAAGACAGAGTCTCTGCAGACACAGTCACCAACACTCATGTACGGAGGGATGATGGAGCAGCTTTACTTTAGTATAAGTCTGTATTTTATATTTTCGAGATAAAGCTACTGACTCTATCTTCAACCTTTACC